AAACTCACCTGAGCCGAGCGAGGTTTGTTGAAGGAGGAAGAATTCCTTTTCAAAATCTGCCCTGCAAAGCGGCTGACCGGCTCTGAGGACGAATTGGTCGCCCTTTTGCAGAGGCCTGAAGCAACCAGCACAGAGGAAACAGTTGAGGTGGAAAACTATGCTGCCTGCTCTCATCACATATTCCCTAGGGTTTATCCTCTCTCCACATGTTCCACACTTGGCTGCGAAGATTCTGTTGCAAAATAAAAACAACATAAAGATTTCATCAAAGCAGAAGTTTCATATCAATCAATTGATGTGAACGAACGTTCATGGACAAAATGAAGCGCTTCACGACTCAAAACATTGTCAAAAATCGCTTTTAAAAAATCAATGAAGTTGACAATATTGTATTGTTCTGTCCTCGCTTTCCGACTAATTATTATTTTTTTGCTAAAGGTTTCCGTTGGAATATTGTACTTGACGACCAAAATCAACACAGGAAAATTTGTATCTCAAAACGGGATTTTTCTGCTAATTTTTCAATACACTCAGTCTTGTTCATCTTGATGTATCGCGTTTTATTGTGAAATTAAATTTCATTCACTAGTTCGGAATCATCATCAATCATCGAAAATTCGGAAGGAAGCATTCGCCATAAACCAACAGTTACTTCACGGTCAATATTTAAACAAATTTAATTTTAAGACAAAATTATTTGCGTTCCACATTTTATGATAAAAAAGAAACGGACTGTCTTAATGTCGGAAGAGCGGGTGAAATCACGCCATAAATATGTTATTGTCGGACCTTGCCAAGTTCAACCTCCCTAATTTAAAATGTTTATCCTTTGGATGCCAGGTAACCCTTATAATCAATGCCCATGAACCCAATGCAATTTAAATCTCTCTAACTAAAAAAAAGGTGGGCCAAACCTCCCATGGCCTAAATTGCAAAGGATTTTTTTTTATTAAATTGGAGTTGAAATTTAAAGCACACGTTCCGAAAAAATTATTTCCGTTCTGCTCTCCACAAAAAATGTAGCATATTCCTACCGGCAGAACACTTGTGAACAAAGAAAATTTCTAAAGATTTGGAATGAAGTCAAATCCCCGAACTCTAAAACTCTCTGTCTAATTTTGTTCGGAGTCGTGCCTTAAAATATGACTGACAGAGGTTAAAATTATTTTAGATTCTTAAGATAAAGTAATTTTAAAATGAGCAATAAAATCCGGAGAACCACCTTCCGTAGCAGTGGTTTTGAATTTTACTTCCATTAAGAAGACGAAAACAGTTCACCTTGTTGCTTGCAACGGAGATTACTGCACTGTACATTTAAAATCGTCATGCGATACGAAATACGTCGTGAACTCACCGATCGTAGTCGAGTTTGCAATAAAGTTTCTGATTCCGAGTGTAACACGAATAAGAAAGTGGATCGTGGCACACTGAACAAATCAAGCAAGTTTCGTGCCAATAAGTGTCCGCGACTCTCATCAGGAATTGGT